TTTATTACCAAACATTGAATTGTTGTCCCAAACAACAAAACGTAGTAGCCTAAGGGCAACCTGACATGGGTGTAAGGGGAAGGCTTATTATGAGAGAGGGAAGTGGTAATCCTCTTATAGTGACCCTGGGTGGCTGGTGACATGGTTGCAGACCAGGTGTTGCTAAGGTCCCCTTTTGGCCTCCCGTGTGACACTTCTCCCCTGGTGAACCCTGTATCTGCTAAATGGACAGAGATAGTGGTGCTGATATGTTAATGTGTGTCTGGGTGTGTGTAGAGAAGAGGCACATTCAACAATATAGGTGTCCTAATCATTCATATCGAGTTGTTCGTGTCTATGCGTCGATGATTTAACAGAATTTGAAATCCCACTTTTAGCTTAAATAAGATCTGGACTGGCATCGTTGCTACTGCTGTAAGCAGATTATACTTCTGAGAGAGCAGAAGGTAAAATGACTCTCTTCCATATAGTTATCATGAGCGTGACTTTACTGTCTGTATATGAAAGTTTATATGTCTTTAAGAAGCATCCTGTTCAAAAGGTCATCGAGTGCCAGTCTTTGTGTGTGAGTGTTGTGACCATTTAGACCCTTACCAGGCAGCAGGATCATACTCGGCCCAAATCCTAACATACTCGTCCAGGTGGTGAGGTCCCAAGATGGATGAGTCCCTTGTCAAGTACTCAAAGTTGTCCATGATGACAGCCACAAAGAGGTTCAACATCTAAACGCAGAGCAGGAGATCCAGATGAGAACTCATCAAAAATGAATGTCAATTGATGTAGTCTAGAGTTTTATGGGTAAGATACTTCCTTACCAGGAACGAGCAGAGGAAGATGAAGGAGACAAAGTAGACATAAGCAAACTCGCTGCCACACTCCGGGTTAACATTGCCAGAACGTGGATCGCATTCCTTCCCTCCAAGACATGCCAGCATGATTTCATGCCATGCCTCTCCTGTAGCGCTCCTGTGTCCATGGAGTTGTGTGATTGGACAAGGTCATTATGGAGGAGGTGGGGTTAGAGCACAGAGAGCCAATCACAGCTGAGTAGAAGCACAGGAGTACCTGAAGAGCAGCATGAGGGCCATAACAAAGGTCCGGAAGTTATTGTGCTCGTTGATCGCACTGTCATCGTCCTCGATGAGGGCGAGGTTCCCAAACAGCTGTCAAACCAACAATGACTGTCAGATCCTGCTCTAAGCCAGAACATTTCAGCTTGTCTTAAACCAGGGACCTCCTGTTAAAAACAGTCAATAGCAAGGGTGCCTCCTACTCCTAATGCATCACCTGTTTTCATTCCAACTGGGGGGGGGGGGTTCCCTTTGAATGTTCAGTACTTATAGTCATACCAATATTTCATACGTGGGAACATGTGGGATTAGGGCAAAGCATCAGCCGGTTACTAACCTGCATCCCAATGATGGCGTAGATGAAGAAAAGCATGGCAATAAGCAGGCAGACATAGGGCAGCGCCTACAGGGACAAGCAAACATGCCAGTCATCCAACCAGAGTCTCCAGGCCTCGGCTGCTGAATGTGCATGGGAGGGGGTCTCCTCGTGGCTGCGGCCGGCGCAGTGCGCGTACCTTGAAGGACTGTACGAAGGTCCACAGCAGGATGCGGATGGTTTCTCCCTGCCTGAGAAGTTTGATGAGGCGGGCCGCCCGGAAGAGCCGCAAGAAGCTCAGGTTGATGAAGTTCTCCTGGAATGCAGAAGTGTGTGACCGCAGCAGAGAGAGAGACAGAGAAGGAGAGAGACCAAGAGAGAGATAGAGAGAGTGAAACACAAACCAGACAAAACACATAGAGGGGGAGAGAGAGAAAGAGAGAAATGAAAGGAGGAGAGAGGAAAAAATATGTTAGTACGTCGCCAATATGTTCCCTCTCAAAAGCCAAAAAAGTTGGGGGAAAACAAAAATAGACTGAAGGGACTATGGGAATGGAAGAACCCCTTGTTTGAACTGAATATAACTAAAGGAGAACATTAACATAGGAACTAAAGAATCAAACCCTCATCATCCAAACGGGGAGAAAAAAAAATCTAGAAAAAAAAAGACAACCAAATGCACTGATCTTTCAGGACAAGCAAGCCAAGCAGTCTGAAGGCGGCCCAGGACACTTCAGCAGGCTGCACACACTGAAAGCAGTCAGCACCTTTACCCAAAAAAATGCTGCCTGGCTTCCATGGTCATGTGACGCTCCATGGTTCACAGTGTCATGATGACGAGCGAGAAGATGACGGCTGGGGGGTGGAGGTGAAGGAGCAGGGGTGGGGTGGAGGTTCAAGGGGCGGGGGTCTATGTATGTGAGGGTCTGTGTAAGTGTGTGTCTGCGTGAGAAAGTGTGTGCGTGTCTGTGTGAGCATGTGCGTGAGTGAGTGAGTGTGTGAGGGAGTGTGTGGCTGTGTCAGTGAGTGTGCGTGAGAAAGTGTGTGAGTGTCTGTGCAAATGAATGTCCGTGTGAGTGACTATGTGAGTGACTGTGTGAGGGTCTGTGTGAGGGAGTGTCTGTGAGTGAGTATGTGTGAGTCTCTGTGAGCAAGTGAGTGTGTGAGTGTCTGTGAGAGTGTCTGTGTGAAAGAGTGTCTTTGTGAGTGAGTGTCTGAGAGAGTCTCTGAATGAGTGTATGTGTGAGTGCGTGTCTGAGTGCATGTCTGTGTGAGGGTCTGTATGAGTGAGTATCTGTGTGAACGAGTGAGTAAGTGTCTGTATGAGTGAGTGAGTGTTTGTGTCAGTGTCTGTATGAGTGAGTATCTGTGTGAACAAGTGAGTAAGTGTCTGTGTGAGTGAGTGTCTGTGTGCGTGACTGTGAGTGAGTACAGACCTCCCAAATTTTTAAAAGTTACAATATCTTCCTGCGTGTTTCTTTAGAGGTATCATTCCATATACAGGCCATGGGTCTCATCATTGTATTTTTTATGTTCCAAAGGGGTGGGGGGTATTTATTCCTTTGTTTCCAAGTTACACCCAATTTAAGAGCAATCCAGTCAGCTGTTGACAGGCCGCAGGCAAGAGATGCAGGCGAAGCCTAAGAGATGTGTGAGCGGCTGCTAACTACCCAAGCCTGGATGTCAGCTCACCATCGACCCCACGGGCAGAGAGTGTGCAGGGGGCAGGGCAGTGAGCTTGGGGGGAGCGTCACATTGGAGCGTTCATGCAGTACCGTCTGCTGGGTGGTGGGGGGTGGGGGGAGCATTGCCGTGCGTCACAAGACTGGTAAAAATCCTGTCCAGAACATGCAAGGACAGGCAATGCGGCACCCGCATGCTGGGGCGGCTCGGGGACGAGCCAATGAGATTAGACAGTGGCGGATGGACATGGTGACGGAGGAAGCCTTCTGTGCATCCCGTGTCCCTCCCCAGGGAACGAGCGGGTAAATAGTTCGAGCGGCCCAGGGAGGGCACATGACTCAGGAATGAACACAGACGGACGTGGGGCAGTCAAAGCTTTCATTTAGCTTGTCAAATAGGGAGGAATTGCTTTTTCTCTTTTCAGTTACATCGTAAATTACATTATTTGTGTCGCTTCGTCAAAACAGCTCGTGTACCACATATTGTCATGGTCTGCCTGTAGCTACTGTGTGTGTGTGTGTGTGTGTGTGTGTGTGTGTGTTTATCATGGGCATTTGTGTGAGTGGCAGCATTGTGTATCTCAGCGCGCCATTGCTACTGACACAGGGCTTCTCCGTGCCGTGCTCCATGTGCTGCAGCATAGCAGGGCGTAGCAGAAAGCGAGCGCGCGGGCTGTCCGTGTGTGGCCATCTTGAGGCCCGCAGCCAGACGCGGACCTTCTGCTCGGTGCACCGCATGCAGGAGCATCCAATCACGATTCCTGGCGGCAGGACAGGTCAGCGTGCACGGCCTTTGTCCCAGAGTCAGACGCCGGACGCCCGTACGATCTGCCCCTCCAGTGTGTTGTCGGCCTTGACTCCGCCCCCCCCATCAGACACGATATGTGTGTGAACTAATGGTGTTTGTGTCTGTGCATGTGTGTGTGTGTGTGTGTGAGACAGTTATCAGGCATACAGGGCTCAAAGCTACAAGGCTACAGAAGCACATGCGATGAGATCACGCAGTAAATGCACTAGAGCTATATGAACTACGAACCAACCGGTTGCTATACGTAGACGTGTATGAGCATATATATGCATATATATATGCATATATATATATATATATGCATATATGAGCATATATACACATACATATATAACAATAGTTTAATATATATATATAAATATATTTATATAATATATATATTGAGATATATGGGTAGGAGTGCATTGATTAGCAACCAGAAGACATGGTTGTTATGGAGACACCAATTCATGGATGGACACGAGTTTTATAGTGCATTTTGATTGGATGAATTTATCAGAAGGCGTAGACGCCAACAAAGCAGTATAAAGAAAGCATGTAAAAAGATAAAACAAGAAATAATCATTATGTTTATACTGTAGGGATAAACTTAGTTTAATCAAATGTTTTCACATATGCAAGCTATCATTTTGTGATCACATGTGTCATAACAGGCAGAATTTGACTCAAAAACTCCCATTTACACTAATGCTGGTATAGATGTTTTAGACATATGCAACACATTTTCACACCAGACACAACGTATACCGACTAGATACAGTAACTACATCTCCAAATATTCATACAAAAAATGCTGAATTCTTCTTATTATAACCTGTACACAGACAGACATTTAATCAACAGAATCACTTTAACATTATCCAACCATTATCCTGATTAACTTCTGTATTCTATGATTAAATGTTAGTCATAGCAAAGCGATTCTTTGTCAGAAGCTACTCTTGCAGTAATCAATGAGACAGTTCTAAGGGAGTTTCGCCTTTTTGATTCATAATAGTTCATGAGACCATGCTATACAGTGGACACAAACATGACCACACCTCCCACACCCACCTGCCCCTACTTACCCATATCTCTGTCACTAAAATGTCAGTGATGCTCCCAAGGACTGTGACACAATCGAAAATATTCCACGCATCTTTGAAATAATTCTTTAGTAGGAAGGGAACAGACAGGAGGAAGCCTGTTAGCATATTAGCATGTACAGAATGGTGGCGATTTAGTCTTCAACAACAAAGCCATGTCACAGTCAACAAAAGCCAGCACGAGATCCGACCTACACCTCAACCAGAACCACAACACCCATACGGCATGTGTATACCTTTGATTTATCCCAAATACTTTCTAAAATCTATCAGAAGGTTCTGCTCAGTACGGTCTGCCTTACTCATTTCCTTTTCTCTCTACATCAGCTTCACGAGGCCATGTACTGTTCTTAGTTACAGTTACAACTGCCTCTGCATTTTCACACTTTTTGTACTTTGCTGCAAAATGTAACCCTGGCAGGTACAACCCTATAAACAAACAGGATATGACAGGATCGCCATCTCTGGTCAGCTGGCTGGAGTGAGATTTTCGATTCGCTGCAAGTCTGCACACACATGCACACGCATTTACACGGATGTGACAATTTTATTACCTTATAAATAGTCTGTATTGGCTTGCATATTGCCCCAATGCTTTTGATGTAGCGAACTTTAGGATTATAATTGAATAATATAGATTTACTGTAAGACTTCTTGCGTGAGGGTGTCACGACAGATGCCTGAGAGTTGGCGACCCTGCTCTAAACATAAAGCTCATGCCTTGTAGATCATCGCACACTCACCAGAAATCCAAAGGCAATGATCTTCAGCACGCACTCCATGGAGAAGAGGGAGGTGAATACAATGTTGAGGTACTTCAGAACCACGTCATATTCGTTGGAGGATCCGTCATACTAGGTTTACACACAAATATATGTGCATGTCCATAAGTAAAAGTAACCAGAAGAGAGACATACAAAACAGAAAAGAAATAGGAGCAAAAAACTCACATGCAGCAGAACAGGAAGTGCTGAATAAGCAAGGATCCATATATATAAACTGCTATACTAGTTTTCATGAATCGAAAGGTTATAAAAAAAAGTTTGCCATTCCAAAGCATCGCAGTGATCACGGATTAGATATGTCCACCATATTAAGGTGACATAAATGCCCTTGACTGTGTTTGTTGGCAGTAAACCAGAATCTCACCTTCATCATGAGGACGATGGTGTTGAGAGCGATCATGGCCATGATGGTGTACTCAAACGGGGGAGACACCACAAACTGCCACATCCGGTACTGAAAGCTCTGCTTGTTCTGTGGCATGTGACGCGTTAGAGGCTTGGCATTGATGGCAAAGTCTATGCAGGCTCTCTGAAAAAAAAAGCACAGAAGCAACGCATGTGACCCCCCTGTAAAGATGCAAGGTGGCATTTTGGAAGAGGAACTCACCTCGTTCTTTTCCAAGCTGTAGTCTTCCATCATTTTGTCTCCCTGCTCCTGGAAGGTGATGATGATGAGGGCCACAAAGATGTTGACGAAGAAAAAGGGGAATACAACGAAGTAGACCACGTAGAAGATGGACATCTCCATGCGGTAACCCGGGCTCGGGCCCTGATTCTCATAAGTCGCATCCACGGAATGTTTCAGAACGCTGAGGAAGGGAGAATTAACAGATGGGATGTGTGTGTGATCCCTTTTGTTTGAGAGCTATATTAAGGTAAGAGTGTGTGTCTTCGTGAAGGTCAGAGACACTTACTCTGGCCATCCCTCTCCAGTAGACACAGTGAAGAGGGTAAGCAGGGCCCAAAGGACGTTGTCATAGTGGAAATCATACTTTTTCCACTCCCGTTTCTCTGACCTGACCACCTCCTTTTCATACACCAGATATTTCCCCCTGAATCAGCAAAGCACATCATAAACACTCCCAGAGACATGAATGCATCACTTTGCCATTGACTTTCCACAACAACGCATACCTCCAAGAGTGCTTATAAAAAACACAGCCATTAAGAAGAGAATCAGACAGATCTATAGGTATGCAAACTCTAATTAAGGCCCGCAGCCAGAAGCAGTTACACTTGGCCAATTTTGGTGGCATCTGAGTGTGACATTTGTCACCACTTCATGTCCTGACCCCCACCCCACCTGCAGTCATGCTCAAACTCCTTGGACTCGTCGGAGCAGTAGAAAAAACGGCCCTTGAACAGCTGCACGGCCACCACGGCAAAGATGAACATGAAGAGCATGTAGACGATCAAGATGTTGAGGACATTCTTCAGAGAGTTCACCACACAGTCGAACACAGCCTGTTCCGGGGATTGGAGAGAAACACGAGCTTAGGTCATTGGGGAGGGGCCAAGGAATAACCAGTGTAACTTCAACACACCCGCATACAAGTACACTGTGTTGAAATACCATTTCCCATGAACCCCTTATGGTGATAGACACAAGTACAACACAAGTACAAATATAGTACAAAACTATGTTTGATTTGATCAAGAACGGTACCTTGAGTTTGGGCAGACGTTTTATGGTCTTCAGAGGACGCAGCACCCTCAGCACTCGCAGGGACTTGATAGTGCTTATGTCTTTCCCCTTACTGCTCCCCCTGTTGGTCAGCCAGAACATAGCAGTCAAGAATGGAGGGAAGGGGTAGACTCACAGGCTGGCAGTGACAGTCAGTTAAAGGATGTTGCTCAGCTCAGACACCCATACAAGGACAGCGATTCCGGAAGTTATAATTCCGAAGCCATTCTTCTGGACTGGAATGCTACCGTAGGCATGTTTGATAACTCCTGGTTTAAATTGTAAACATTACGCAGGATTACATTTGAAAATATCCTTCATGGTGTTTCATGGTGAGCACCCCTGGTGCCTTGGTGAACATCATAAAGTGATGGACAATAGAAGCTGCATACTGCATAGAGAGCACCATCTTGTGGGGTCAGAAAATACAGCAAGTGGTTCATGGAGTTTCATTTGGCCATCACTATTAGAGGTTTTAAAGAATGCAACACAGAGTCTGATGACCTTCATGGCTATCCACCACTCACAACAGTTCCTTCACCCACAGAACCACGGCCTACATGCTGCACCTCCGTTGTCAACAGTACCTTGGTTAACCTTCTCCATTCATCTGTATTCCTCTGTATTGTCAACCAAAGCATAACACTGATTGCAATAATCTGTACCCCAAAAAGCATGCCAGTGTGAATGTGATTCAGACAGAAGATGCCAACCATTCAAGGAATGAGCAAATGCTCTAGAGGATTACTATGTAAAGATATCTGTTTTTCAGATATTCATCACATGTCTCCAGGCCCCGCTCTGTGCTTAACAAGTTTTTCTGACATCACTGTTAATATCAAACTGTAACTTCCTAGTATATTTGTCATGAGGGAGCAAAGAAGTTTTCAACGTCATTCATTCATTACTGTTGTGATCATTCATAGAATCAGCAATAGACTTGGATATCTACAGTGCATTCTGTTTGGTCTCTAGGGCAGGCCGTAGACAGACTAGTGGCATTAGAGGGAAGAAAGAACTAGGCAGACAAAGAGCCAAGAGGAAGGCCAGGTAGATGGGAAAAAGAGAGGAAAAGCCTTCTGGGTGACAGACAAACCATGCAGATCAAGAGGAAGAGAGCGAGGAGGAGAACTTTACCGGGTGCTGCTCCTGTTGATGTGGTCAGGTCGAGAGAGGGAGGGATCAGTGACAGCAAGAGAGAGGCAGGAAGAGAGCAGAGAGGAAAGAGAAGGGGGGGGCAGGGGAGGGATCCGGCAGAAGAAAAACATCCATATGAGAGACAGACAACAGAAAGTGCAGACGGCAAGGCCCATCCCAGTTGCAATCCCCAAAACTCCACCCAACCTCACCTCAAAAAGCCCATCTCTAAGCATCCGTCTGGTCTACGCTACACAATGTGAGGACACAGATGGAATCTGACAATCACAGCCTGCTAGGTCTGTCAAAAGAGCCCACTTTTCTTCATGGTCACCAATTGCCTGGCCGTCAAGATTTGTATTTGAGCTTCGAATAGCTCGGAACGGATTCCAAAAGTCAGGTCGAGCCCAGGAGTCTATGGAATGTAGGCTGGTTTATTCCTCGCTTCAGATGAGCGGCTCTGCACAGCATCCTGATCACCAGGCATCCTGATCACCAGGCTTGCCCTGCACTCCCCTCAGTGCTGTTACATCTGTGTTCCACCATCCCAAGTACCCTGTCCTCGGGAAGCACCCCAGCTCCATCCTGCCACCTGTCCCCCCCCCCCCCACCCCACCAAGCCAGCTGACCAAGGGGAGGGGAACTTAGTCCTCTGACAGCGGTGGCACGTGGAACTGGGTTTACGCCATGCAAGCAAAATGGGCAAGTGCGCCACCTTGTGGATATGCCCCGCCCCTGCAGCGTGGGACGGCAGGCTGCCCCTTTAGCGCCCAGCCCTGGTCACACTATGCCTGACATTCACAAACACACCGAAAACACGGTACACTCTAAGCTGAAGCACTCCCATATGAGTTGGCTCTTCTATAGTAGAGAGGAACAGTACATCACAAAACCATGTGAGGCAGCTGCTCAGATGTCTACTATAGAGTCCTGGAGACCTGGGTTCCACTGTGATACTGGTACACCAGGGTAAATATGTGAATACCCAGTGACTAGCCCGGAGCCCAAGGGGCTTATGGGTAAATTGGTTGCAAAAGTAGCTGGGAGTTTTTGGCAGTAGCTCTGCTGGAATAAGCCTGACAGCAGTGGGCTCTAGGGGGCGCTGTGCTGTCAGTAACCCAGGTCTGGTGTGGCCTCATATGGAGGGACATGGAGTGTGTAAGCTCTGGCCCCAGAGTCTTACGTGGGAATAGGCTGGTTGGGTGGGGGGCAGGCTTGATGGGGGCAGTGTCATAGGCGGCCCCCGGAGATTGACTCTCTACCCCGACCGGCCTCGTTGGCTAATGAACATGTGGCGTGTGATCTCGCGGTTACGGCAACGCCTGCAACACGCCTGCAACACGCCTGCCTCTCTCCAGCTATGATACTCAAAGACAAGCTTCCACCGGCCACCTGCATACTGAGGGCTGCAGGTCTGACAAAACATCTTCATTACATACACTGTGTCAAAACTGTACCTTCAAATATCTTGTATTACAATATACTCCCATTCAGGTAAAATGCCTTTCTTAATTAACAGCTTAAACATAAAGGGCTCCTACTGAGTGGGTCAGGTTATCTGTCTGATCTCCTTCTCATCACTCCATCATGCTGCCTTCTGGTGCTGACAGATTTTGGGCATCAGACGCCTACCTGTGAAGTCTGCGCTCTGAAGCGATGGACAAAAATATCTGCCCCAAGCAGATATTTTGATGAAAGAGCTCATTTAATTTTGTTCCGAGCATCACTGGGGACAAA